TGACAGAGTGCCTATGGGAGATGGGGTTGATCAGAGGGTCAAAGTAGAAGGCGGGCAAATCAGGATCCTCAGTCTTGATGAACACCACGTTTGGTGTGTGGTACCTGCATGGACAATCACATACCATTGGTTCAGCACAACAGGAATTTGTATAGAACGATAAAACTGTAGGCATGATGAAGTTTCATACCAGGTGAGGTGCACATGATGTGGCAGGTTGTTGTATAAGTAAGGGAATGCAATTTTGTATTCTGTCCTGATTGGTTGTCTGATGATGATCTTGTTGATGTCATTGAATTCATTCCAGTCTTCATCCCTGAAAACAAACCAAGTCAGACTTCTGGAGAAAATAAAAAGTAATGGTCAATTATGCTACAGAACATGGTACGTACTGGAGGTTAATGTCTCTGACAAGTGGCTCAAATTTGGGTCCCCCCGGAATGGCCATGTTCAATGCTTTAGAGGTGAAGAAAGCCTTCAAGTCAAACAAGTAGAAGTAGTTTCCATCCACCAAGTCTGTCAGCAACTGATTAGCCAATCGATACAGAGTGGACATCATTGGTAATGTGAATTGCCAGCGTCTGTATGTGGTCCCATTCACATATCTGTGGAAGGAAAAAAATAAAATCATGAACAAAAGACGAGATCTGGACAAAAACGAGAAACCATACTTTTGAACAACTGTCACCGACACTCACTTTGTGGTATCTTTCAGAGGTTTATGCTCATAAAGCCATTCTGCAACAGAGGAGTCCTCCTCAGGGTCCAGCTCCATCTGGATCGCCTCAAGAGGCTCAACATCCAGGATGTTGTCCGCATAGTCCAACGGAGGCTCTTCATCATCAAATGGGGGGAAACGCATGCGCTTGAAGTGCCGCCTGTCTCGCTTCTCACGACGCATCATGATCCACATCGTGCTGGGAAAAAAAAAGTTTTCTGTAATTACAGCCATACAGATATATAATTTTTCTGCAAAAAAACAAAAACAAATATGGAGCTTTCAAAACAGCATCAGAAAAAATTACAATTTTACACAAAATGCGCAGCCCTAAGTTTCAGTCTCTGCTCTGGAAGTCATGCCATTGAACACCATCACCTACCCCCACTGAGCAATGTACACCGGCTCAATCACCCATGGGATTTCATTTACAAAGGAAATGGCGCCTGTGATGTGGTAGAGCACAGGAACATCTCTGATTTGCTCCCAGGGCATGGGCATGTTCTCCAGCAGTTTGAGCACTGCATGGGGCATATATTTCAGGGCCCTTCAGACAAAAAGCAACATATACCATTAATAATGAACATACATAAATATCAGTTACCTAGTCAATAACACAAATGTTCTTACCCAAGGTAGACCCTCTTGTCATGACGAAATTTCCTGTTTGTCATGTCACCATGATCCCTGATGATTTTGCGCACATGCTCAGGTGGCATGTCCTCTTTCTGAGCATCCACAAAGCCAAATTTCCTCTTCTCTGAGTAGCGTTTGGCCTGAAGCTGCTGCCATTTCCGAGCTGCAACAGCAAGGTTACCCAAACAAAAGCAAATCATGTCACTAAACACTCAGAGTACACAAAGCAAAAACAGTGAATGTGATCGAGCCATGTGAGCGCACCTTTCTCTTGCAGTTTCTCCTCAGTCATGTAATCTGGTACTGGAGCAACAGCAGGAGGAGGTGGAGGAACACCTGGAGGCATTGTTCCAGGTACACCTCTGTAGGGGAATGCAGCTGCCATGGCAGCGTGTACTGCAAGGAAACCAGTAAAGCACAAAACATGAGATCAAACTGCAAAGCATGAGTACTGAAACACGTTGAAGATGACAATAGAAAAGAACACTCCACTATGAATTGCAACAACGTGGAAGACTAAGGGAGGACTAAACAAAAATCTAATTTGTTGGTAATGAAAGGAAATCCGAATTAGAATACAAATATTTGTGCAAATAGTTATAAATAAATACAATATCTAAAACACAACAATGAACTTCGCCGACTAACGTGGCTATCGCGCCTGAATTGTTTTCCTATCGTAAAGTTACCGAAACTAGCAAGCCACTGTTTATTAATTAAAGACACCGTATAAACCTTATTTAACAGGTACAATTTTACTTATTGTGCAGGTCAAGCTAAAATATATCCAAGATATGGATATGTAACAGTTTTTTTTCGGTTTCAATAAAGCAGTAATTAGCATGTTAGCTTAGCTTACTAACGTTACATACTACACAACAAGCAAACTGTTTCCGCAAACGACCAATACCAAGAAAAAAAGTTATACTTATTTTAATATAGGCAAATAAAACGCTCCACGTGCTCGCAGAGAACAATGTAACTTACTCTATTAAAAGCAGTTCCTCGCCAGTAAATGTAGTTGTGTGCTAGGTTTGTGCTCAGCGGAATGGCGTATCATGCACGTTGTGCGTGTGGGCTTGCGATCCACGAATAGGTTTTACGTATCTGGATGACTCTGCCTCAACGGAAATTATGTCTTTTACGACACCGAACGTAAGAAAATACGTAGGGCCAAACGTCCGGATGTGACACCGGATATTAAAAAAAATTGTTCCATTGATTGTTCCATGACTATTTCACTGAATAAATAGAGAATAAAATACAGGAGAAAGAGAGGCGATATTCATAAACAGAGACGAGATACAAACAGAGAAAGATGTAAATCAGGCTGTTTAGTGATGTAGAATTTAATACAGAATCAAATTTGATACGTTTTTGATTTAAGCTAGTTTAGTTCATTTTTAGTTCTAAACTGGTAAAATAGATTGAATTTGTGTTGATGATTTTTTAAATATATTATAAGAGAGTAACAAATTAGTTTAAAAATTACATTACGTAAAAGGCATTTCAACAAAACCCTTTATTTAGTGGAAAACACAGTGATCATAATTAGAGAACAGTAACCACTCTAGCAGGAAACATGATTACAACAACACTTTTGGAGGGTTACAGCTGTCAGAAATTAGTAGGACTTTTAGAAGCCCCTGCTTTGAATGACTTCAGCACATCTGCGGCCGCAGGACAACACTAGTTTCTGCGCTGGTGTGATCTTGGTCCATTCTTCTTCCAGTCTCTTCCATAGAGACCTGGAATTAAGGAAATTGTAGGTTGTTCTCTAAGCTTGATCTCCACTATATACCTGTTATTCTTTTTTATTTTTAAATAGTTACTAAAGTCTGATTTAACATAACATAATGCGCCCAGCAGGTGGTGCAGTTTCATTTATTGATATCAACAACCATCTATTTAATCAGACTAAAACATAATCTGCTGCATGCAAATAAATTAATACATATTTAATAATAATAATAAATAGTACAGACCCAAAACAGATATGTTTCAATCTCTCAAGCAAATCAAGCAATACCATGGCCACATTTTAAGGCAATGGGGAAAGATGTATGGGGTTTATTTTTCAGATTTACATGTCACAAGAAAAACTAAAACCTTTGGCAAAAATACTGCAGAGACTTGAGAAATACTGCATGTAAATTTTCACACAAAAAAAATAAGAGTAAGACGGAGGAAATAGGATGCCACTGAAATATGTGATGCTTCCTTTTCCTCTAAAATAGCATAGTTGTTGCCAGTTACATTGGAGAGAGCTATTCTAAATGGCCTCTTACATAATTCTTGCAGTACTGTTTACCATGTCAAAACATCCATAGTTATCCATTATTTTTGCCCTGCCCTTCACCCATTCTCACCTACCACACCTTAAATGATTCCATGATTTCCCTCTTTTACAAACAGGATATCATTACTCCAGTATTCAGAGTCTCGTAGTCTAAACCAGCTGCATTTCATCTGCGTTTGATAGAGATTTTTTATTCATTTTGTCATTTCTCTTTGCTCTAATGCTGACCATCTGTTGTTTTTAGTGATCACAGCATGCAATATGCAAGCAAGACAACTAAAGTCATTTAACTGTCATCATATAAAACCTTCATCATAAGTCACTTTTATGTAACTCACTAAATGCTGTGCTGACAGAGATCTGTGTCTTTACCCAAATTTAGATCATACTGTGCTCTGGGATGCCAAGGCCACTCTTTCCTGTTGATTGATTCCCAGAAATCATGAATGTCTCAACTAATGTCACAGGTCAGAGGATGTGTGTCTCTGTCATTTCCCCTCCTACAAGCTTCACACATTCAAAACTGACAATCACATTTTCTGGGAATCATATTTAAAAGCATTCAAGACAGACAATGTGTTATTTTGTAAACAGATTTATTCTTAAGAAAAACTCCCCAGCAAATACCAAACATCCCCCTAACGTTAGCATATGGTTTTAGAATTAAGAATGAATTCTAATAATTAGAATGAGTTATTAATGAATGTGAAAAATAAAAAATATAAATGATAGATAGATACAGAGGGGAAAAAACAGATAGATAGATAGATAGATAGACAGATAGATAGATAGATAGATAGATAGATAGATAGATAGATAGATAGATAGATAGATAGATAGATAGATAGATAGATAGATAGATAGATAGATAGATAGATAGATAGAGAGATAG